TAAATTCTTATCTATTAACGACACGGCCGCCCCTGTATCTATCAAACATACTACTTCTCGATCATTCACTCGCAACTTCGAATACAGAGCCCTTTCTCAATAGCCCCCACTAAATCTAGGTTCATACGAAAGAAAGAACAAGCATTATACCGTCTGAAATTTTTTCTTTTTCGCCTTTCTGGGCAGTATCTTCTCCAGTGTCCCGGCTTACCGCATTCAAAACACCGGTCTTTTCTATCAGCCAACTTTAACGCCGCCACTTCCCGCTGCAATGCTTCAATTTTCTGCTCATATTCGTTTGGTTTTGGTTGGTCTATAGCGGCTACCGTTGTGCTCAGCAGCTGTCTGGTCACCTTCGCCAGCTCACTAATATCCATCGGCTGCGTTGCGTTAACCAGTTGTAATCGCTGAGAAATGTGGTCTGGGACACTCTCGATGAATTGGGAAGACAGTAACTGCGCTTCTGATTCTTCATCTAAAGTGGGAAGCGCGCGTCGAAGTAGATTAGTCAGTTTCACCGCCAACACTAGCGGGTCTCCATCAGGTCCAAGCTTCATTGACCGGAACTGCTGCATTGCTAGCTGTCTGTCTGTTTCGCTGTCAAACTCGGACACTAGTCGTTCAACCAATTTCTTCCAAGACGCTGTGCCATTTGACCTGTCTACGCTGTCATATGCAGCCTTCGCTCGGCCTCTCAACAGCGTCCCCAGGACAACTGCCTTCGCCGCCTGCTCCTTGACACCCACCAGCTCAGCAACGGCCTCGAAGTCACGTAAGAAGCTCCGTATGTCTCCTTCTTCAAACGCAGCTGGCCACGGGATCTTCATTTTTTGGAGGCAGCGACACCAAATGTAACAACAGAAGACAAGGGCTGGCAACAGATCGTTTTATTACGAAAATCAACACGTATTTATATATATTTTATGTGCATTAATAAGGCTTATGCAAGCAGAAAAAGGCAGTCTTCTGATTGGTTGTTTCTCGGAAGTTAAGCAGACAAACACAGTCTTATGATTGGTTGTTTTCGATATTTCTCGGAAAGTAGAGCCATCTATCTGCGAATCATATTTGTCCACATTTAAGTTTGCTGTGATTGGTTGTTGAAACAGCCTTGTTCATATTTTCTCACGGCCCATATTAGTGACCTAGACATTAACGTAGATTAGTGTCAACCAATCGGCTAGCAGCCTGCTCTCACCACAGTACGAGTAGAGTTCCTTAATCAGTGCAATGTATTTTCTCGGGATTCCCTTTACAGCCAAGCATCTCCAGAGTACTTCTCGGTCGCAGAATCGAATTCCGCCTTTAGGTCAAGGAATATAATGATTGTTGGACGCCGGTAAGAATGGCTATGTTCTAGAATCTGTCGGAGGGTGAAGATATGATCAATACACCCTCTTCCTGGTCTAAAGCCTCCCTGGTTCTCTCGTGTTTGTGCCTTCCGAGCACCACTCAGTCTACACATGATTATTGAGCCTAGGACTTTAGATACTATATTAGTCAAGCTAATCCCTCTGTGATTATCACAGGAAGACTTGTCTCCCTTCTTGTATATGGGGATAATCAGTGACTTACACCAACCCGATGGGACTTCTTCTGATTCCGAGACGCTGCCCAGAACCTCAGTTAGTGCAGACAGTAAACTGTCTCCACCGTACTTAAATACCTCTGGAGTGATTCCATCAGGTCCTGCTGCTTTGCCTTGTTTCAGATTGGTGACAGCTTTAGTAACCTCAGTTAGTGACGGAGGACCTGTGTCTATATCCTATTCAGGGAGGTGTTGGTTGTTCGGCAGGTTGAGCGTGGCTGTGGGCTAATTGAACTGCTCCTCAAAGTGTTCTTTCTAGCGATCCAGTCGTCTATCCTGGGAGCTAATTATGATGCCATTTTCCTCTGAGATTTTTTCACTTATCATTCGCCGTTTGCCACCTATTTTCTTAATAAGCCTAAATAGTTGTCTGGTGTTGTCAATCGCCGATGCTTTTTCCATCTCTTTCGCCTCTGTCGCTCACCACTGTTCACTTTTTTTAAAGTTTTCGTTTGAGTACCTTTCGCTCCTCTTCATAATCGGAGCTCGCTGGAATCAGTCTTCTTGCGTCAGTTAGTTCGGATGAGGCGGTGGAGATCCAATGGCTTTTACTAACTTTAGGTTTTAGCTCATTAAGAGCTTTCACAGCTGTGTCTACAACTAACTGTATGTTGTGCCAGGCTACCTCAGGAGAAGTTGTGCTGATGACCTCAGAAACTCGTTTCGCTATTTCTTCCTTCAATAAAGATTCAGTGTCTCGATCTAGTTGGGGACGTCCATTTAGTCGTAAGCATTAACGTGAGCGAACCAGAGCGTGATCGGAGTCCACGCACGTGTTCCAGAAGGAGCGACAATCTCCTACTGACCCTCACTAACGATAGCTTATTGCTATGTGGTCTATATGTGTCCAGCGTTGGTTTGATGATGGGGGTCGCCAGGTCAAACAGTGTCTCTCCTTGTGTTTGAAGTTAGTGCTTACAAGAAACAAATGATTATCTGAACAGAACTGTAGGAGACGGTCACCGTTGTCGGTTCGCTGGCTCGGGACTCCATAGGTGCCATCGACATCCTTCTCAGATTGACACAATTTCCCCACTTGAGCATTAAAGTCACCAGCTAGAACGACTATATCTGAGCGTTTAGCTTTTCGCAGCAAACTAGACAGCTTTTGGTAGAACTCATCCTTCGTTTCATCTGAACTGCAGTCAGTGGGGGCGTAGGCGGAGATTACGAAAAGGCATCGGCAAGTAGTGCAGTCCTTTCTCCTTTTTACTGACCCGTTCAGACGGACAGCACATATTCGGCTATCTACTGGGATCCAGTCAAGTAATGTCTTTTCTGCCCTAGTACTCAAAGCTATCCCTACACCAGCTAATCCTCGTGAACTGGCTGTGGCATCTCCTGACACCCTCAAGGTGAATTTTGAAGATTCATCCTGTTGGCCAGGTGGGGTTAGGTGAATAACCACACTTGGGTGTTGTATGCGTGTTTCTGAAACACAACATACATCAATGGCTCGGGATGCCAGGGTCTTGGCTAGTGATGCTTGTTGTCCTATTTGGCAAAGTGTCCTAACATTAAAAGCTCCTGTAGGAAATTGGTGGCGTGACTTTAGGAGACTATCGGTGGTGGTTTTTTGGCTTCCATCGTTTTTAGTGGACACAGAGTGAAGAGGAAGTGAAGAGCTATCAAGTAGAGGAGTTGCATCAGTGGAAGGATGGCAAGATACACATAGACTCCAAGTATACAGTCTATTATCATGTTAGCAACATTTTTTATCAGTATTGGTTTTGTAGGGATTTTCCTTGATTGGTTGGAGGATTTTACCATGAGCTGATTTCAATTACAAAACCATTGTAAAAGCACTTGGGAGTACTGGACAGCTGTTTAACACGGGAGGCTTTATTTAGGCAGTTACTTGGGGTTCTAGTGGGAAGCCATTACCAGTGCAGGGTACAACAGGTTGAAGGTGAGGCAGTAACTCATCGAAAAAGACATTGCAAAGTGGTCACGCTATTTCGTGCGTGAATTCATAGAAGTTAGAATTCATGAACTGGTTGGCTGGCCATTGGATCGGGTACCAGTGAGTGGCTTAATGAACTACAAGCCCAGTGGCGTTGTAACCAGAAGGTTGTGGGTTCGAAACCCAATAAGCTGGGTGCGTACTGCTTAAGAGCCCAGTCCCCAGCAATCGGACAGAGAAAACAACTGTTCAGTCCTCCTAGTTGGTTTCCCAGTGGTTTTCTAACCAGCTGATGTCAGCTTATGATGAAATCCACCAACCAATATTTTTTAGCCAATTTTTCAACGATTATGCGACTTTTTTACATCTGAATTCTGACTGGCTGCTCAAGGTCATTGTGGTTTTGGCTATGATAGTTTTACTCTGGCCAATTATTATTGTCGCTATTGTTGTTCAGGTTCTGCACATTTTTACATCATTTTATTACCAAAAGTTACTGAAACAAAGTTCTCATCTCACGCAGATTAAGTTGTGCTTGAGTGAAATAAATGTGAGGAAATTAGACAGGCTCCAGAGCAGCAGGAAGAGCACTTATTGATCATATTTCAACCTTTCAGCAGAGTCTGAAGGCTAGGCATACATACTGGCGTCCAACAATTGCCATATTTCTTGACCCTGAGGTGAAATTCGACTCCGTCCATCGAGAGGCACTATCGTAATGTTTGGCCTAGTAGCGAGTGCTGAAAAAGTACATTGTAACTAATCAAAGCAAGACAAGCTTTGATTACTCTCAAATCTGTGTGGAGGTCAAAAGCACTAATCACCATGAAAAATAACATCCGGATTTTCAACTCCAATGTGAAGTCAGTCAGTGCTACTCACTATACGGATCAGAGACTTGGCCACCGCGTCATAAAGAGCACCTCAAACAAACTGGAGACCTTCATCAACAGTTGTCTTCGCTCAATACTCAAGATCAGATGGCCGGCCGGCCGGCCAGAAAAGATCAGCAACAGGGAATGATCTCTGGCAATGAGCGAACCAACCCAGTAGGAACCGATTGTGCAACAAATAGGCAGGAAGAAATGGAGATGGATTGGCTGGTCATATTCTGAGGAAACCATCAAGTGAGTGACATCACTAAACAAGCCATTGCTCGAGTGGAACCTGAAGGGAAAGCGGGTGGCGAGTTGGTCGTCAGCGTGACGGTGACTTGGAGGAGGTGATGTGAAGAGGAGATGAAAGCGTGTGGGCAGACTTGTAGCGGGGTGAAAAAATTGGCAGAGAACCGAAGGCAATGGAGACGCGCGGTTGAAGCTCTATGTTCCTCTAGGAATTAAAGGATATAACAATAATAATAATAACAAGTATTCATTATTCTGTATATAGTATATGTACCGCCGAAGCGAGTACGTATTCATTATTAATATTCGTTGTTGATTTCTTATACTATTTGATCATATTTCAGTAGACATGATCAACTTTCCTTATTTCAAATTTTATTTTCAGACGTATTGTGTATCGACTCTGCTAAGATATTCCAGTCAGCAGTTGGTTGTTGGGATTGGTAAGTGATTCATCATCATTACATCGTTTCTTTATTTCCGTGTCCTTCTTCTTACATTCATCGGCTGTGTATCTTGTGATGACTCATCATGTATAATCTATGAGTATGACTTTAAGGGAGAAGAGCTATAACTAACTGTGTACGAAATGAATGCCACGGTACATACAGGCGGCATTTCATTACTTCTGCTGCGTGTTACATATTATCTGTTTCAACTAGTCGATGTTTTTATTATTAAACTAAACACTTACACTGCACTTAGGTGTCCGTTCTCAGCCATAACTTCTTCTTCTTCCCTAGTTGTTTGTGTGTATGTTTGCTACCATGTCGCTTCAACAGTGTTCTCCAGTGCTATATTCCACTCTGAGGTGGTGGTAGGTGTCTTCCCACTGATGTTTCATATCTATTCTCCAACTTATTCCTAATGATTACAGAGTAAGGGTGTTCTTTGTAGCTTCGTCGACTACTTTTCCAATTATCAAAGTTGAATTGTGGTCTGTCTGTCTGTCTGAGGCTGCTTCAAAGCTTTTGAATGTAGTAAGCTGGACGCGTTTCCTTACACTTCACTAGACAATGATGGTTGGTTGATCTGTGCCTATATCTATTCCTTGTGTCGATATCTCCTCTAAATTAATCTGCTTCTACACACTTTTTTTGGGAATAAGAAGATGTATTGTATCTGATTTCTATTGGATCGGCTCCTAGTGGCGTAATGTTATATGAGCTCGCCTTGTAACCAGAAGGTCCTGGGTTCGAATATTGGCGGTGGGTGCGTACTACTGGAGAGTCCTAAACTGGGACGAAACAGCTGTCCAGTACTCCCTGGCTGGTTTTTCTATGGTCCTCTAACTAATGTCAGCTCACGATGAAATCCTTTAACTAATCAAATCCCTACAAACCAACACTTGATTTCTATTATGTTCAACTAGTTGGGACTCATTTAGCCTCGTGCTAATCAAACGCTACCTTCAAACAACAACAAGTTATTAGGGAAACACGAGTCTGCACACTGTGCATTACCCCTTCTCATTCAGTTCATCCAGCGTCTTCTTCTGATCATCCATCCCTAATGACTACTTCTCTCGTGTTATTTGCACTTAAAGTCTCACACTCAAGTCGTCAATTAGAATTCGATGTTGTCATCTGACTGGAGTCTTGTCCACTACTACACTACTGCTTTTCTGCACTTGTGTGTGTGTGTAGAGAGAGAGAGAGAATTGCTTCCACTGACATGTGAGTTGTTTACAGGTGTTCGAAGTATTGCATTATTGTAATCTCTCCTTCTTTCATTGCGTTGCGTCATTCCATTCGAGTTGAGTCATGATAGATACTGAAGGAGATCGATTCCCATCGTACGCTAGTTGCCTTACTATTGTTGGTGACTTCATGACAGCCACTACTTCAGTATGCTCTTGGTTGTTGTTTGAGTGATCGGAGAGTATATTATTGACTCTCCAGTTATGAGTTTGGTGTGTGTTTTGGTTTGGAAAAGGTCACTACAGTAATGCTTGCGTGATGGTCAACTCTGGAGCTGTTTTTGGTAATATTTAACTAGAATACAGAAGTAAGACAAGGCTGTCTATTATCACCTATGATATTCCTGATTGTGGGGGGGGGGGACTGGATTGTGTGTCAGACAGTGGGGATAGATAAGACAGGAATACTTTGGACCGATAAGGAGACTCTAGAAGATCTGGAATTTGCAGACTATTTATGTTTACTGTTACACAAACTCGAATACTTACAAATGAAAACAACCAACCAACAGTAAAAACAACCAGCACCAATCACCATCCACGGAAAACTCTTGACAGAAATTAACTTTTTCACTTATCTGGGAAGCACAGTTCCAACCACAGGCGGTGGGACGGATGATGTCAAAGCTAGCCAGCCAGCCAGTCAGAATCGGAATGGCAAGAGACTCACGCCTTCATCAACCTGAAACCCGTTTGAAGATCTTCTGTTTCACTCCACCTCAGCATAAGGAACAGGATTCGGATTCTGTTCAATACAAATGTCAAGTCAGTCAGTCAGTCAGTGCTTCCATATGGGTCAGAAACTTGCACTGCATGTGTGTCACGAGGAGGATTTCCAACAAGTCAACGACTTTTATCAACTGCTGCCCCTTTCGCTGAGTTGAGTGGCTCCATACTGAAGATCAAATGACCAGTCTGTCTGTCTGTTTTCGACATAGAACTTTACACAAATGTGCGGAAGTTCAAGTCGCCACACTCCGTGTAGCACGCGAAGCAAGAGAAGAAAGTACAAGAAAAGCATAATAGAAACAGTGAGCAGAGGTGTGAGACAAAGGAGGAGTAATAACGATGAACAAAACAGTTTCATTGAAGATCATAAGTCACAAGGAGTGGATGCATCTGCGCCACTGAGAACGATTTTGAGCCATGTCACCAATTGTTTCCAACCATAGATTTTTACTGTCCCGAGGACCCCAGCCTGGAAGTCTACACCTTTCTACGTGGCTTAGACCAACTGTTGTGGATTTCATTGACTGATGCCAAGTTTTTGTTTGACCGCCGCTAGCTGGCTTTTTTCCATCCTGACCCTATATCCGCTAACATTGCTCGTCGAGGGAGGCGATGGCTTGGCATACGTAACACATGTCCTAACCATCTCAGTCTTTGTAGCTTCACGACTTTGTCGATTGATTTCCCCTGTTTACCTAGAACTCTACGCCTAACCTCCATGTTGCTCACCTTATTATGCCACTTTACACGGGAAATAGAGCGCAGGCACCTATGATCAAAGACAGCTAGTCTTTTCATGTCTTCCACTCTCAGTGGCCAGGTCTCACAACCATTAAGGGGGACGGAGCGAATTGATGAGCAGTACACCCGCCCTTTGGTCGATAGTCGAACATCTCGTCTACGCCAGAGTCGGCGTAAACTGGCAAATGCGAAACGAGCCCCTTGTATTCGTGCTGAGATTTCGTCAGAGATCAGCCCGTTGGGGCTGATGGTACTTCCCAAATAAGTGAAGCGGTCAACGTGCTCTACCACTTCACTTCCTATTTTTAAACTAGGCGTCGATGTAGTCCAGTCCTGTAACATCATCTTGCATTTGGTGGGAGCGAATCGCATGCCAAACATTCGTAGATTGCGGCTCAAGGTGTTCAGAAGACTCTGCATTTCGTCAGCGTCTTCGCCTAGAAGGACTATATCGTCTGCATATTCTAAGTCAACGAGATTATTCCCTAGTAGCAAGTCAATCCCTGAGTCGCTGAAGTCACCCCGACCGAAAGCTGCTACCTTGACGTGGTGGTCGGGCTTGAACACCGCAATGACCTAATCAAGCTATACTGGCTGAGACTTATGTCTCTTGAGGTACTACCATGCCAGAAAGGTTGTTTGGATAGCGGTCAAACAAAAAGCACCTACCCAATCCAACATCATGTCCAATACAAAATTACAAAATCTCATGCCGGATCGGCCGTGGCCCGGATTAACAACGACCGCGCTTCCTGCTTCCGTCTCACAGGGCAGGAGTGATAAATCTGCTACTGAGACACACCAAACAAAAAAGAACGAACAAAAACAGGCCACGTGTGACCGGCCTCAAGCAGTTGTCCCCTGGGCTCTGCGGTCACGCAACCAACTTCCACGGTGTGGGCAGCCGGGAAGTAACAATCGCCCTCACAATCCGAAATGCACACGAAATGACCAGTCAGAATTAGTAACAAGAAAGTTTGGCTTAGAACAAACCAACAGGGAGAGAGAGAGAGAGCCGATCACTCAACATATATGTAGGTGATAATGGAGATGGACTGATCGATCGGGCATACATTGAGGAGATCATCAAATGACATCGCGCCATCCATCGGTCGAGTGGAATCCGAATGGGAAGCGACGAGTGGGAGGTTGGTGACATGGCGGAGATGATGTGTGCCGAAGGGGAGGAAGAGATAAAAGATTGTAGTCAGTGTTAGATCCAGCCAGCTGAAGAGGAGGACAGTAGAAAACAGAAGAAAGTGGAGTTGTCTTGTTGAAGCTAGCCTTATATTCCACTGGGAACTCAAGGGGAGTTATCAGAATAATAATAATAATAATAATCCTTTTATGTGTCGATGGGATGTATAAAGAATTTACAATTTGATCTTGATTACTGTGGTATCCTTCAGATGATTATCACCAATGATATTTTTTTTTCTTTTAACTATTTCCTGCTATAAATTTTCTCTTAAATATCCTGATACCTTTTAGCTGATGTCCTGCAAATGTTTGAAACAAACGTTCCGTTTAGAATTCCTGTCGCATCTTTTCTGACAGTTATTTTGGCTCTTGTTGGTAGGTTCTCACGTCTCACTGTATTAATTTTTCCAAATTAGTTTTTATTTTTGTAACACAAGTTTAGGCAAGATTCCACTGTTGTGCATAATTGAATTGATTTCAGGAAATTGGATATTCTCATTTTTAACTTTTTACATAGAATTCTTAATGACACTGTGTTATATGGTGTGCTTGACCGAGTATAAATAAATATGCCATTAATGTGATACGATACAACGGTCGATGGCATTGGAACGACTGGTGGTATTGCTTAGTTGGTTAAATTTCCCTCTCACAAAGAGTAAATTTAGAAGACACCTAAACGTGTTGACACAGGATACGTGTATTATTATTATTATTATTCCGACAAAGAGAGATTAACTGTTAGTCACACAAGAGTGTGTATCGACGATTGTCAATCACTTGTACTACAGTGCAACAGTATTATGAAAATAACTAAAATATATGAACCAATAAGGTGGATAAAGTAGGTTTTCTTCCTCCCAGCTGGATTCTAATAGGCTGCACTATCATGTGACAAAGGTAATTCAATGTTATTTAATTGATACAATGACAAGATGATAGAGATTGTAAGTGAGAAAGAGAAGACTTTCAGAGAAGAGACTCTTTTCGGCGAATTCAATCACATAGCTGTACAATTGCATTTATATATAATTATTTGTGTGTGTATATGTGAGGTTTGTCAAGTTTAGATAACTGATCAAGTAATAAAAGAATGATCTAATATAGACACAAGGTTAATCAGACAGCAACTAAAGTAAGATTGAGTTAGTTAGTAAGTTAGATGACGTAATATAATTGACTAAAATGTTTCAACTTAGGTCAGGGTAGAAACAGAGGTAATTACAGGTAGAGACTAAGTAGAAGTAGGGTAGAGGATGATAATGCCATTTAAATTAGAACAGAAATTGAGCAAATAATTCGGATGACGTAACATAAATGACTCAAGAGAATTTATTGCAAAATCTATGAATCCTAGACCACAAAAGCCGCCCATGCTTAGTGTCCCGAATAAACCACTCTACATGAACCTTCAATTCAATGGAGATATATCTGCGGAAACACTAAAAATTGACTGACTGTTGAGCTCACTCAAGAAGATCTTCTTTGCAGCTGAACTACAACTACCCTTCTTCACAAAACCTATGATTCATGTGAACGTGACGGGTAAGATACCACTGCTGGCCTCATCAATGTGCATTTATCAATTCACCTGCTCGTGTGGAGTCAGGTATGTCGACTGTACGCAGGGTTTGCTTTCCAAACGTATCACCAAACACTTACCAACATAGTTTTACAGAGAAGAAAAGCGACTTCGCTGCAGCTGGCTCTTAGAATATCTGATATAATCTGGACACAAAGCTGCACCCCAAACAAACTTCAAAGTCGTCAACAGAGTAAAAAGTAGTCTTCCTAAAGGTGTACGAATCAGACTTCTTCAAACTAAAGCAGAAGCAATGGTGATTCACTTACTGAGCCCTGAACTCTGCATACAGAGGAAGTTCATTCGTTCATTACACATGCAATGGACGTAATCTATCTTATTACCCGACAAGTAAATTCTAACTTATCTCTTTTTTTCTGTCTCTTCATTGGTATTACTTTGTCTTCTTAATTGTAATATATAATGTAATAATATACCAGAGATATGGAAAGTGGTAACAAACAATACGCCAGTGAAGTTGCAAACACACAGACAAAATCGATGAAGAAAAATATACACCTGTAAGACGACTAATTGGGAAACCAAGTGTCTGTCTGGATTCAACATAGAACTTGGCACCGAAGTGCACCAGTTCGAGTTGCCAGGTTCCAAATAGCACACAGAGGTAGACAAGAAGATGAGTGGAGAGAATTAATAGAGTTTGACAAATATAGGAGTGAAACAGAATGGGTAATGGTAGAAAGGAATATGAAAGATTACAGAGACTGAATACATCTGCGCCATTGACAACGATTTTGAGCCATGTCACCTATTGTCTCCAGCCATTGATTCCTAGAGTCCCGAGGGCCCCAACCCGGGAGTCTGCATCTCCCTACCTGACTCAGTTTAACTGTCAAGGATTTCATGGATTGATGCCATGTTTTTGTTTGGCCACCACTGGCTCTTTTCCAACCTGAACCTATATCAGCTAACAATGCCCGTCGGGGGAGGCGGTGGTTAGGCATGCGCACCACGTGACCTAGCCATCTTAGTCTATGTAACTTTATAACCTCGTCGATTGATTTTCCCTCTTTGCCCAACACTCTACGCCTAACGTCAACATTACTTACCTTGTTAAACCACCTAACGTGAGACAGAGATCGCAGACATCTATGATCGAAAGCAGTCAACCTTTTCATGTCTTCAACGCGTATTGGCCATGTTTCAGAGCCATAGAGAAGGACGGAGCGAACTGATGAGCAGTACACACGTCCCTTGGTTGATAACCGGATGTCACGCCTACGCCAGAGATGGTGTAAGTCAGCGAAAGCAGCTCGAGCTTTTCGGATCCGTGCTGAGATTTCATCGCCAATCAGTCCGTTGGTGCTAATACAACTTCCCAAGTAGGTGAAGTGGTCAACATGTTCTATCACTTCACTCCCTATCACTAAGTTAGGGGTTGACGTCGTCCAGTCCTGTAGCAGCATCTTACATTTTGCAGGGGCGAATCGCATGCCAAACATACGAAGATTGCTGCTCAAGGTGTTCAGAAGACTCTGCATTTTGTCAGCATCCTCCCCTAACAGGACTATGTCATCTGCATATTCTAAGTCCATTAGATTATTCCCTGGTAACAAGTCGATTCCTAAGTCACTACGTTCAGTTAAGGATACTTCCATTAGCATATCTATGATGAAGTTAAACAGAAATGGGGAAAGTGGACATCCCTGTCGGACACCACTGGTTGTTACTAATTCAGATGACAATTCCCCATAAGCCCTTACACGACTACGTGAGTTTGAATAGAGTGCCTTGATTAGTGCAATGTACTTTCTTGGCACTCCCTTCACAGTCAGACATTGCCATAGTACTTTTCGGTCCACGGAGTCGAAGGCCGCCTTCAAGTCAAGAAATATGACAATTGTTGGACGCCGAAAAGTGTGTCTATGTTCTAGAATCTGTCGAAGAGTGAAGATATGATCTATGCACCCTCTACCTGGTCTAAAGCCTGCTTGATTTTCCCTTGTCTGTTCCTCCCGAGTTCTGCTTAGTCTATGCATGATTACTGAGCCTAGGATTTTAGAGACTATGTTCGTTAGGCTGATCCCCCTATGATTATCACACGAGGACTTGTTTCCCTTCTTGAATATCGGTATAATGAGTGACTTACCCCAGTCTGATGGAACTGTCTCTGATTCCCAGACTTTGCCTAGTACCTCAGTTAATCTACAAACTAGTATGTCACCCCCATATTTAAACACCTCCGGAATAATTCCGTCGGGTCCTGCCGCTTTGCCTCGTTTCAAATTACTGATAGCTTTTGTAACCTCACCTACAGACGGCGGACCAGTGTCTATATCCCATTCGGGTACGTGGTGGATGGCGGGGAGGTTCAGTGTGGCTGTAGGCAAGTTAAATTGTTCCTCAAAGTGTTCTTTCCAGCGTTCAAGGCGTCTATCCTGAGAGCTAATTAAGGAGCCATTTTTCTCAGAAATAGTCTCACTTATGAATTGCCTTTTCCCGCCCGATTCTGTGATGAGTCTAAAGAGTTGCCTAGTGTTGCCTATCGCCAATGCTTTTTCCATCTCTTTCGCCTTTGTCACCCACCACTGTTCACGGTCCTTGCGGAGACTTTTAGTAAGTTTCCTTTTGTGCAGCTTTCGCTCCTCATTGAATTCGGAGCTCGCCGGAATAAGTCTTCTAGCATCTATCAGTTCGGATGAGGCAGTCGAAATCCAGTGGTTTTTACTCACCTTTGGATTTGTCTTATTCACAGCTTTTACAGCTGTATCTATAGCTGACTGAATATTCTTCCAGGCTTCTCCAGGGTGAGCACAGCTGTCAGATTCAGATATGCGTTTAGCTAGTTCTTCCTCAAATAGGGATTTAGTTTCCTGATCGAGCTGGGGGCGTAATGGTTTTACCGCCAGCTGTTTCCTACGTCCGTTCAGTCGTAAGCACACACGAGCCCGGACCAGTGCATGATCGGTATCTACACACGTGTTCCAGAAGGAGCGACAATCTCCTACCGACCCACGCCAACGATAGCTTATTGCTATGTGGTCTATTTGTGTCCAGCGTTGGTTTGATGATGGGGGTCGCCAGGTTAAACAGTGTCTCTCCTTGTGTTTAAAGTTAGTGCTTACAAGAAACAAATGATTATCTGAACAGAACTGTAGGAGACGGTCACCGTTGTCGGTTCGCTGGCACGGAACTCCATAGGTGCCACCGACATCCTTCTCAGATTGACACAATTTCCCTACTTGAGCGTTGAAGTCACCAGCTAGAACGACTATATCTGAGCGTTTAGCCTTTCTCACCAAACTAGACAGCTTTTGGTAGAACTCATCCTTCGTTTCATCCGAACTGCAGTCAGTGGGGGCGTAGGCGGAGATTACGAAAAGGCATCGGCGAGTAGTGCAGTCCTTTCTCCTTCTTACTGATCCGTTCAGACGGACAGCACACATTCGGCTATCTACTGGGATCCAGTCAAGCAATGTCTTTTCTGCCCTAGTACTCAGAGCTATCCCTACGCCAGCTAATCCCCGTGAACTAGCTGTGGCATCTCCTGACACCCTCAAGGTGAATTTTGAAGATTCATCCTGTTGGCCAGGTGGGGTTAGGTGAATAACCACACTTGGGTCTTGTATGCGTGTTTCTGAAACACAACATACATCAATGGCTCGAGATGCCAGGGTCTTAGCTAGTGATGCTTGTTGTCCTATTTGGCAAAGTGTCCTTACATTAAATGCTCCTATATGAAATTGGTGGCGTGGCTTTAGGAGACTATCCGTGGTGGTTTTTTGGCTTTCGTCGTTTTTAGTGGACACAGAGTGAAGAGGGAGTGAGGAGC